ACTGTTTCACTTGGGCCCTTCTGGGAGGCCCAAGGAGGCCCTCATGAGCCGTTCGATCGACAATACCAAGCGCGTATCCCCAGAATCTATCCCGAGAGCCGGTACTCCTGCTGCCCCGGTGGTTTCGAGAACCAGGCATTGAGTGGGGGGGGAAAATGCGTTTTCCTCTGATCTTGAACTTGAGCCAAAGGAGGAGGAGGAGGAGGAGGAAGAGGAGGAGGAGGAGGAGGAGGTCGGCGCCGTCGCGCGCCGTGGAGCCCTCACTGAAAGGGTCCTGAAAGGAGGAGGAGGATGCTTGAGCCAACACATGGTCACGTAGCATTCGCAATAGAACCCTGTTCCCAAAGGGGCGGAGTCGCTCCACCGGGGAACTGGGTCCCGAGCCGAGGGATGCGGGCGAATGGCGCACACCGGCCTCCCTGTCGCTCCCAACACTCCATGCCCTGAGCTCTCGATTATCTGTCAATCATACGTCGCCGCACCGATTCCGGGACATGAGAATCTGGCATTCTAAGCGGTCGCCGGCCAGGGGGCCGACCGACCGGAAAGTCCACGCAATGTGCATTTACTACATAATGATAACTGCCCGAATTTCCGTCCTGGGCAACACGGCTCGTGTGCGCAATTTTGACTCCAAGCTGGCTCCTATAGGAGACCTCCAGCCGGTGGCCTGAAAAGGCCCTCCAGAAGGTCCCCGATGACTGTCCAGCACGCCCCCAGCCAGAAGTAAAACTTTCCAAGGATGGTGGCTGCCCAGGAAACATCCTATGACTGTACAATCAACGTGCGCTGTCATGCTGCGCCTCACGCACCGCAAAGCGGCGTTAAAAGTGTAAAAGGATTCCGTCGGAAGCTCCCCCGATTCACAGATGAGGGGGGGGAGTGGATGGGGGAGAGGAACGGAGATAATGAGGATGATGCTGATGCTATTGATGATGATGATGATGATGATGATGATGATGATGATGATGATGATGATGATGCTGATGATGCTGATGATGATGATGATGATGATGATGATGATGATTATGGTGGTGCTGATGATTGTGATGATGATGATGATGATGATGCTTTGTTAAAGTTTCAATACGACATCGCGTTGAACTCGTTGGTTAGTCTCAAGCCTGGAGGAGGCCGACGAAGGAACGCGGGAGAAGAGGAGGAAGACGAGGCTGAAGGGAAAACAACGACGACCCCGAAGCTCAGCAACGACAGCGCGGGAGGCCCGGAAACGAGAGGGGAGGAGGCAAAGCGATGAGACAAGGCGACAAGAGGCAAAACGACAAGAGACGCGCGGGCTAGGATACACGCCAGGGCGGAATCGCGAATTCGATGTAACTAAGTTCTCTTCCTGGTGGCATCCTTCGCGTTCGTCGACCAGCTCATATGTTTCCAAAGGGAAGTATCATGTAATCATGAATTACATCATGGGGAAGCCGACGATGCTGCAATTCACCCAACCACCATTCCACATGGGCATCGGCATCATTCCCACCGTGAATAGGATGGCCACGATTCAAGACAAAAACAGGAAAACCAGTTTCGTGGACAGCATCGGTACAGTAAAGGGTACAGTGCGAACTTGTGCAACATCGCGGACCGCGCGAACTGGTACAGCGTGTGGTACAGCATCGGGTACAGCGCGCGCTGGTACATCGTGGACAACATCTTGTGCAGCGCGAGCGGGTACATCGCGAGCGGCGTCATGTACAGCAACGAACGCAATATCATGGACAGCATCGGGTATAACGCGCAGTAAACATCGGGCGCAACACCGCGTGCAATGCCGCGTGCAGCACCGGGAACAGCGCGGGCTCGTGCATCGCGGACCGCGACGTGTACCGCGTCGTGCGCTGCCTCGTGTTCCTCGCCGTAAATCGACCTCGTGTGTAGCGTCCTGTGCCGCACGGGCTGGTACAGCGCCGCGAACAGCACGGACTAGTGCAGCCTCGGCTGCTGCACCGTGCACAGCGCGAGCTGGCACGTCGTGAACCGCATCTTGCACAGCACGAGCCGGCGCACCACGACCAGCATCGGGAACGCCATCCTGTTTTTAATCTGAAGTCGGGCCTGTCCCCCTACAGGGGGATTTCGACGAAAAATAAAGAATACCCCAAACATTCTCCCAAATGGTCAAACATAAAAAAAAAAATAATAATCCCCAGACTGTTCGTTGACTATTTTTGAACATTCCTCCTGTAGAGGGACGGGCCCGACTGAACTATGATCGTGTGCAGCAGCAGGTGCAGCGCGGGAGCGTACGTCATCGTGTGCAGCATCGAGCGCAGCATCCTGCGGTGCGCGAGCTGGTGCACCGCGAGCCGCAGGGGGCTGCCGTCCGCAGCAGGACACGCCGGGAAGCAGCGGCACGGCCACGTCGCGGGCTCTGGGCTGCCTCGCTCCCGCTGCGCCCGCTGCCCGCGACTCCCAGGCCCACACAGTCGGACTTGATGGGACAGGGCACGCGAGAGGACACGAGACCCTTCCGGGGTCCACATTGCCACAGACATGTAGGAGGCATGGGTCGAGAGACACAGGACACGAGGGTGCCCTTGATCTGGCAGGGTCGACCTACTAATCAGTGCCGACTGTACCGCGGGTCGGAAGAAAGACGAAGAACGCCGCGCCGCCGAGACTCAGGCGTAAGTCCACCACTACCGTGACCGCGATCATCTTCGTCACCGGCGTCATCATGTGGGGGGGCGCCATCGTCATAAGCAGGAGGAGCAAGAAACACCTCGAGCTAGATTGAGACCGTCTGGCGCCCATTTGAGCGGCGGTGTCCACGATCAGCTGAAACGCACCCCGCAGTTTTGGGTGACAGCTCGACCATGCTGAGCATGAGTACGCGCGAAGGGGGCGTGGAGGGGGCCGCCATGCTAAGGTGGTCTTGATCTTCACCCTGGCCGACTGCACATACGAGCTCCCCGCGATGTGCAACACGGCGCCGCCGACAATTTGTTGGCGGAGTCACCCGAGCCTGGCCGCGACCACCACAACGCGAATCGGTCGGGGGCTGCCGCCGGGGGGCGCAGGCGCACCCAGCAAACCACAGGGGCCAGCAGGTGCTGGAGCCGAAGTGTCTCCAACATGGTAATGCTGATGGTCGATGATGATGCTGCTGATGCTGATGCTGATGCTGATGCTGATGCTGATGCTGATGATGATGATGATGATGATGATGATGATGAGGGGCGGCACGAAAAGGGTGAGCACGGAAAGGAAGAGAAGGAGGATGAGGAGAAGGAGGATGAGGAGGATGAGAAGGAGGAGGGGGATGATGATGATGATGATGATGATGATGATGATGATGATGATGATGAGGATGAGGAGGAGGAGGAGGAGGAGGAGGAGGAGGAGGAGGACCATCTTCAACAAAAAATGGAGGAACAGACCGCTCGCTGACATCCGCGCGCTCGGTTATGATGCCCCCCACCCCGCGCCGTGACCTGCGCGCGGGCACGTCCAAACAAGGCCCCCAAGGGCCAAACGGACCGCGGGGGCCTCCTCCTCTTCCTCCTCCTCCTGTTTTTTCTCCACCTCCTGCTGCAGTTAGTCTCGCAGCTGGAAGGAACTGACAGTGAAGGGGCGACAGGAAGGGGAGCACAGCCACCATGTGCATTCGATCGAGCCACGATGGTGCCGTCTTCCAACCAAGTGAATCCTCGCAATCCCGAGGGTGCCAGGCTGCCAACAGGTTCCGCTAGTTGACGTGGTCGCTATCTCCTTAGCCAGAACTTAGGTACAATCTTGCGGTGGCCAATGTACACGTGTATAGTATAGTGATAATGCATGCTAGCACAGTCCGCGCGAGCACGCAGATGAGCACGATAGCCGAACGACAACACAGAAATGGCAAGCGAGCGGAGAGGAAACACAGGTGGATGACATTCGCGCCGTCTGGGTCGTCGTGGTGACGATGCCCTCGCCTAGCGCACGCGCTAAGGAGGAGTGCAGCATCTCGAAGAATTCGACTGATGCTGATGCGCCCTCCACATACTGTGGACCAGCAGCTATGAACGCTAAGTGTGCGACCGAGGGGCTCAGGGAGCTGACTTTCATGGTGCTACCCGGTAGGACTGAAAAGGCTAGGCTCCAAGGCTATGGCAAGAGGCATCCACGGGATCGATACCCCCCTCTGGCACCTGCGCCTCGACCCCCTGGGAAACTTGTCAACTCGTTAGGGCATCGTCGGCCCCGCGGGGTGCGAAGGCCATCGTGGGGGTTTCCGTCTTTGTCGGGCTACCCCCTCCACGGACTTCAAGTGATTCGCAAGCTGGTTGATCTTGGCGGGCTAGCTGGTACGCGTTTCCCCCAGGAGTTTCTGCTTCTTGGGCCGCGAGTTGGGGATCGTCTGCGTCAGCTTCGGCACCTCGGACAATCGCTTCAGGAAGGCGGCCTCCGCCTTCGGCCAATCACCCGTGTCGGTCTCTGGCAGCAGATGCTTCCGTAACGTGTGCGACGCCGTCGAGATGCCTTCAGCTGGTGCTACTTACTGGCCCCGCGCGGCCCTCGAAGTCATCGGGGGTATTGAGGCGCTTGCTGCTTCCGCATGCGCGGGTCATCGGCGGAGAGATCTCTGCGACACTTGTAGCGCTGGATCCACTCGCCGCCCCAGCATGTGGCCTGCGCTGGAGCCCCCTTCGGATTCGGACTCGGACCTGCAGATGTCGCCAACTAGGGCGTCGCAGGCGGGCGCCGTGGCGCCATGCATGTAAAACGTGTGAGACGTCAATCAAGATTAAACGTGCGCTGCCATGAAGGCTAAATCAACAGGGCACCATGACATGCACACATACAATCAGGGCTGGAGCTCCTTTATCTATTTCATCAGGTCCTGGATGATCTAGTCTTTCTCCGCGATCGTGCTGGGATCATCGGCGTTATTCGGCTGCTGTGGCCTTTGCGTCATCTTGGGCACCGTGGTCTGCTTCGCCTTGTCCTCGCGTTTGCCGCCGCTGCTGCTGGCTCTTGGTCGTCGCCGAATGCTCCTGGAAGGCGTTCCTTCTTTATCTTCGTCAGGTCGATGCCGTCGCTGCTTCCGCTCGAGCCTGTTGTCGCTGCTGAGCTGCTTGTCGAGCTGCAGGGGTCATGCAGTTTCAGCGCTCGGCCCTTCGCGGACTGCGCGGAGCTGGACGTCTTCTTCTCCTTCTTCCTGGACTTATTGCCTTTGGCGGTCTTGTGCGCCTGGCCCCCATCGAAGCGTCTTCGGCCTCGCGTGCGCTGGCGCGGAGCTTTCTTGGATTTCTCCTGCTCGTGCACCGCCGAGGCGGCCTCCATCTCGCGGACGTTCTTGAGAGCGCCATGCAAATGGGCGTCCTGGCGGGGTTTGCTCGGCGGGAAGTAGGGCTGCCGGCGGTGCTAGTGCTGCTGTGGTCGTGGTCTTTCGCCGCCTCCACCGGGCCCCTTGTGGCCTCCACCGCCTCCGCCTCCTTGTCCTCCATTGTCTCGACCTCCCCCCCCAGCCCATGGCGCTGCGAGCTGGCGCTGGCGGGGCTGGCTGAGGGCGCGGGTCAGATCGCCGCGGTGGCACTTGTGTGACGTGGGGTCGATCAATGGAGTGGCTGGTTTGAGCCAGAGCGCTACCCGAGACGGTCTCAAGTGTATCGTGGGTCGGCTGGGCCCCGCCATGGAGGCGCCGATGCAGAAACGTGCCATGAAGTGTGTTTCTTGGGAAAGCTGAGCAGCCCGCGCCCCGCGGGCTGCGGGGGCCACTCTAAGACGCGACTTCTGCAGGCGCATCCACTGTGACCTAGCTCGATGTGGGCGTCTTTGGGCCGTCGAATTGGAGGCGGGGGCCCTCTCCCAGGGGCGCTGACAGGAAACGACGTGGGGGCGCTCCAATAATGTGGTAATGTCAAACACCTTAGATCACGACGCATATGACTTGTGTGCTCATGATTCGCAGCGAAAGCATGGCGTTCAAAACTGACGGACGCCGCGTGCGACCAACTCGAACTGCACGTATTGCATGGGTATATAAGCACCTTCGTGCGTAGCACCGGCATCATCTGGGCAACGTTTACGCAACCGTCGAAACAAACAACCGCAGTGCCAAACACATGAAAAACAAGGGGCGCCATCAACGCGCGGCGCACCCTGCGCCAACTCATGAGAGTCAAGCAAAGGGAGAGAGAAACCTGCACGCCTCGCCTCGGCAGGGCCCCGGTCGAGTGCGGCGATGCATTCGCGAAGGTCGGCCAGAGTCTCTGCGCGTGCAAACTGCAGCGCAAGCAATATAACTTTGAAACGAGGCCAAATCGTGTCCTGGTTTGTTGACGTGCAAATCTCCTGCTGTTTCGTGTCGGTATCGTGCATCGATGCTTGTTGCGCCACTGGTTGCTGTGATTTGTCCCAGCAGATTGCGAGCCCCCTGGCGTTCTCGTTTCCTTAAAGGAAAAAGAACTATGCACATGCACCGATTCTGGCCAGGCCCATCCTGGGCCCAGGAGCGGTGCATACGCCCTCCTGCCTTCACCAGGAAGGCATATGCACCGATCGTGGGTCAAGGATGGGCCTTGCCAGGATCGGTGCATGTGCATAGTTCTCTTCGCCCGATTCCTAGCGCATATTGGAAGATTGCGCTGCGCCGGCCCGAGCAAACGCAATGGGTGCTTCGCGTGTTCCGCATCGGCATCTGATCTAATGCATCGGAAACTCTGTGTACTTGCCAGCGCGCGTGCGTCGCAGCGATGGCAGTTTGTTGGGCGCGCGTGCGGTCCAACAGAGCTCGCCGCTCGCAATCCTACGTACACGGGCCTTCTTTCTCCAAAAAGCGCTTCTGTGCGGCTTTGCGGTTGCTGAGATGGCCTCTCGCGCAGGCGCGTGGTATCTAGCGCAGACCAACTCGCCTGTCTCCGCCGGAATGCACCCCCCTTTAATCGTGAGATGCGCTTTTGACAGATTTCCGATCTCCGCAACCTCTTTCCAGCTCCGTTGTTGTGGCGCGAGCTGCGTGTCTCTCTTGCGCTGCCTTTTGCCCACTTGCTTCGCGATCAGATGCCCCATGTGATCTTCGCGTGGAAGGCCCTTCCAGAAAAGTCGACCTAAACGCCGCGAGCGGGAGTATATTGGGGCCCCCGCCTCGCGGTGCTGGTCCTCGTCAACTCCCGCCCATATGGGGTCGGGTAGCTACCTTATACAAGTAAATGTCCACGCGTGGCTGCAACATGGGGGCGGCAAATCTTGCGATGGAGGTGGCAGGGGGGGGGGGGGGGGCAGGTGGCGAAGGCGGCATTCTCGCGACGACGTGGGTTGAAATCCTGACCGGGGGAACTGGAGTTCAATGTCTTTGCGCAACTGAGGGGCGCTGACGGGCTCAGGTGCATCTTAGAAAGTTCTCCTCCCCCGCGCCGCATCCTGCGTGAGCTTGCTACAAATGCTCGTCTCGTTGCGTGGGTTTTGGTAGAACTGCTCTGGGAACAGGGGAGCTGCCCCGTGCTCATGCGTGAGTGTTTCACTATGGTTTGCCGCGCGTGTACCAGCTACCTGGCTTTTCTTGTTGTCAAATTCATGTGGGTGCTCGCGGCCGCGCGACGCCTTCCGCGCGCGCGTTCGGACCACTCTTCGTACTCTTGAAATTGTTACGGACATGGGGATGCGACTCTTACGGTGCATCTTCCACTGCGAAGCAGATTCCCTGTCCGCATGGGCCGTTCAATGTTCCCTCTGGCAGTCTCTCCCCGGGGGGAAAAAGCTGCCGCGCGGGCGCCGCGGGCGGTCAAATCTTGTCCCTCCGTCTCCGAGAAAGTCGCGCAGACGCGATTCCCGCCCTCGTGCCTCCGCGAACTGCTCAAAGCGATGAGTGGGAATGAGACGGCAGCTCTCGCGCCGGGCAACGAGAGAGTGGAGGGGGGATAGCGTGCGCAACATTGCGTGCGATTTTGCGTGGATAGATTCGGCCTGCGTTCCTGCTCCACATCTGGGCGTGCTCGGGGCCGCGGGCCCCCCCCGTGCCTCGGGGCCCCTCTGCCCTGCTTCGATGCCGGCGGGGTCTGCGCGGGCGTATCTGGGCAGCGCGCGCGCGGTGCAGACGCGTGCAGCGGGCGTGGTTGCCAGGGGCCGCATCGTGTAGCTGCCCCATTGTCTATGTCTCGGGCGGTGCGTCTGTGTACCTGCGGCCGAGCAATTTGCGTGGCAACGTTTTGCATTGTGAAATACCTCCTTTCGAGGGGCTGCCATGAATTCGTCGATTCGCTTGGGCTTTCCCCGGGTTTTGCGACCGATATTCAATGGGAACTGCTGCGCATTGCGTTCCTGTCATACACTGGCTTCTCGTTGGTTCGAAGCGCGTGGGCCCAAGAAGTGGTGGGGCAGATTTCCTGAGGCCCGGGTTGAACGCGCGGAACCAGGTCTGGTTGTTCCAAGAATAATTCGGACGTGGTGTTTGTCATGTTCTGTAGCTGCAAACTGATCGAACTGGTGCAACCACGTCTGTAGTAACATGACCACATCTACGCGCCGTGCCTGCCATTTGCCAACCACGCACCCAGGGCGAACTGCATGTCGCGCAATGTGTTAATGTACTCGGGCTGTGGAGACCCTCGCAGGGCCCAGATGCCGAACGGTCGTGCGAGATACCTGCAAAGTTCGTCTTCTGATCCATTGCGTTTGATCTTGCAGTGCCTGCAGGCAGATTGGAGGAGGTGCTGCCCTTCCTTTTTTGAAGACGTTATGCTGAGGCTCTGCAAAAAGTGCGTTAGTAAACGAGGCGGTAGCTAAGGGGCCTCTTCAAACGAGATCGGGGTGGCAGGGCATTTACCTCGCACGAGTTCGTTATACATTGGGACGGCCAAAACGTCGATGCATGATCTGAACTCTGGGCAAAGGGTTTACCTCGAAACTGCGCGCGGCAAACAAATTTGTGGAAAACACAAATAAGAACGCACCCTTAGCTACCGGCCCGTTTGTTAACGCCACGTCTGCAGGGGCTCGGTTCTGCTGCCATTCGGTCGCCAGCGGCGCGGCGTGATCCCAGGCGAGGCAGTGGAAGTGCCTGAAAGCCGTCTCGCCGCGCCAGCAGGCGGTCTCCACCGCAAAGGGCACCATCCGCCAAGGCAACTGCCTCGCAAGATACCGGCGGCGCTTGTCCGTCTCCGCGGCAGCTTTCGACACGTCGATGTCGCCCCGTGCGCTGTGCCTGACGGCGACGTCGGCAAAGCACCACCAAGTCCAGAATGGCCTCCCCGCGCTCGGCAGCCAGGCTGCGGCCGCAACTGGCGCAAGCAACATTCAGCCGCGCCGGTGCGGCCTCCGCGCGCGTTGCACCCGGCGAAGCGCCATGTCCAGCGGTCCCAAGCTGGAGCGTGGACCTCGAACGTTGCGTGGTGGCCGCATTCCGTTTGGATGTGCTGCGAGGCGCGTTCTAGGTGCCCGCTGTGGGCCATGAGGCCCGGCTGTGCGGGCAGCGCCAGGCGAGGCGGGCCTGGCCGCAGAGCGCCTCGCCGCAGCGGCGGCCCACGCTCGTAAGTGCCGGTGCGGTTGCAACACATGGCCCCAGGCGGCGATACGTCCTGCCCCAAGGAAGATCGGACATCGGACAGTGCCCCTGCGGTCTGTCGTCCACGCGCCTGCGTGGTTGCCCAGGCGAAGAGGTCTGCCACACAACGGCGTGAGGCCTGCCGGCAGAGCGGAAAAGTGCCTGTTTTGCGGGCTTCAGGGCCCTCCACAAGGAATCGTCGCATTTTTTGTCGTTCCTTGCGATGAATCTCTTCTCGAGCTTTCGGTGGGGCGGGTCCGTCAACTCCGGCCAGGAAGTCTGAAGCGGCCGCCTACGCCAGCGGGCACCGCCTCGGGAGCTGCCGCAGAGCTGCCTCGCTCCCCCGAGAGCGGCGTTTTCCTCGGCCACGCGCTTCCGCAACGGGGCGTCGGCGTGCGCGGCGCCCTCTGGCGGCTCTTCGGGCACGCAACGGCGGAGCTGGCCCGCGAGGCGCAGCGGAAACTCCACGGAGATGGTGGCGCGCGTGCGCTGTCGCAGCGGCCGCCAATCAGGGATTTCCCGGCGCCGCGCCGCCGCGCGGGCAGCGTGTCCGTGGACTCCACGTGGGTCCCGTGGCTGGTCCAGATCATTGGCTGGTAGCGCGCGCCGCGATGCCGCTGTTCGTCGAAAAACGGCATGTTTGCACGTTGCTTGCGGCGAACCATGGCTGCGCAGCAGTCCAGCCCACAGCGCCGCGAGGCTGCCGTGGGCAGGCGGAATATGTATGTATGTATGTATGTTCATGCTGATGTTTGTGTTTATGTTTATGTACATGTACATGTATATGTATATGTATCTGTATATGTTTCTGTATATGTATATGTATATGTGTATGTGTATG